ATTATGACTAGTAATCAGACGTCTTCCAGAGACAAAAGCAGCAGAGGTAGGAATGTGCAGAAAGGAACTAGAAAGCACATGAAGAAGAGTATGCATATTTGGACTACATAGCAATGGACATCCATTTCAAGATAAGGCCATAACCCAGCCATCGGAGCTGCAGGGTATACTATATAACAAAGATCTACTTTTTCAGCTTTCCAAGAACTGTGCCTCTTATGAGGCGATGGTCTTCTTGTCCTCTATATTCTTAAAATAAGTCTCCAGCATTTAAGATAATGTGCCTTTGTTCCTTGCAACCTCAAGGAGCCTGTCCAAACTTACCTTAAAAAAAAAAAATCCAGACCTACAAGACTCAGAACATTAACCCAAATAATTCAGACATAAAAAATACAATGTAAAAAGGGGTTGTACAGCCTGAGGCACTGGCACTACTTTAATACAGAGAATTTTTTTAATGTGCTATGACAATTACTACATGGTTGGTCAAAGATAAATGAAAATGTGAATAGTTAAGCACCCACAGAGTCCTCTCAATGCCATTTAAAAAGAGAGAATTCTTCAGACATTTAATTCAAGAAACAAGGGTACATTGGGAAGGCATTAATAACTCTGCATATTTTCCTGGGCTCTTTACATCAGAGCCAAAGTAATTTTCTGCTCATAAAATTAATTTTTAAAGTTACCTCAGTTAAAGATATTTTACATCTCTATATATGTAAGAATCTTTTTGTCATAACCAAAATAGGCTATTAGGAAGAAGATATACAAGGTCTGTCCATAAGGTATCAAGCCATGTAATATGAAAAACAGAGACACATTGAAGATACAAGAAACATTGTACATAGGACAATGATGCCTCAGTCCCGTTCAAAGTAGGCACCTTGGGACCTCTCACGGTTCTCCCAATCACCATCAACCCCCTGTTGTATTTTCCAGAATCTCATCGACGGTCTGAAATTGCATCCCTTTCAAAGGTGATTTTAGTTTTGGGAAAAGCCAGAAGTTGCAGGGCACCAAATCTGGGCAGTAGGGGGGCTGAGTCACCTGGGTGATCTGATCTTTCACTAAAAAATTCTGCGTGCAACATGATGCATGAACAGGCACATTGTCATGATGAAGTGCCAATCACCAGTTGCCCATAGCTGCAGGCTTCTGAATCAAACAATTTCTGTAGAGGAATGTTCAAGCTTAATGCAAAATTTGACCCGTATTTGTTGCTGTACTCCAGTCATTTTGAATGTGACAGCCACAAAGTACACATGCTCACTCAATGGCATCTACCACCCCCACTGACTAGTACAGTGAGGTCATCATTGTTCACACATGCGCATTCTAGTCCACTCTCCTGGGCTGCCAGGTTACCATTCTCATTATATTAACAATGGCTGGACTTTTTAGACAGACCTTGTATATTGTACCTAATTCAACTTGAAAAATGGAAAACCAGGTGCTCCTTCTTGTCAATTCGGCTGCAAGAGCTTTGTCTCATATCAATCTGAGGATCTTTGTAAACACATATGCTTTCAATTATTATAACCTAAAAAAATCACCTCAAAAATCACTTGAGATTCCTCATAAGAGACTTTGCTTGGGGTGACAGGTACACAACGCAGTGCGCAGATGATGTTCTATTGAGTCGTAGACTTGGAAACCTCTATGGTTTTGTGAACCGGTGTCACCCCAGCAAATTCAGTTTTTAAACATCCATGTGAGGCACTAATAATCACCCTGGTTTCTTGGCATCCAAGTCCATTTTTAAAAACTTACACTTTCCAGTGGTAATTATTTTGAAATTTAGCATCCATATCTTTGCATTTTTAAGCATTATGCAGTTAATATTTTTGACAAGTCAGTAATATAATTTTGTATCATCTTGAATTTACAGCTGAGAAAAGGATTTAAAAAATTGTTTTAAGGATACACAGTGAATCCGTGGCCAAACTAGGATACAGATTTTTAACTTTCTAGTATCTAGGTAAGAAAATTACAAGTATTCAAATCATTTAGATAAATGAATTTTCAATGCATTTCCCTATTATATCACTGTTCTAGAAATCCCTGTATAACAAGCAGTCCCCAACTTTTTTGGCACAAGGGACCAGTTTTCGTGGAAGACAGATGGGGAGTGTGGGAATGGTTTTGGGATGATTCAAGCACATTACATTTAAGCTCACCTCCTGCTGTGTAGCCGGTTCCTAACGGGCCGGACCGCTACCAGCCCACAGCCCAGAGGCTGGGGATCCCTGCTGCGTAAGACAGTCTTTGCCTAAAAGTTGGTTCATTATCCCTCCTTTGGCAGTAGAAAATACCTTGCAGGTGTACAACTGTGTTTGTTTCAGGGAAGGGGCACTTTAATGGGGTGTTAAAGAGATTGGCAGTGTTTCCCCACATTGAATGTATCCATAGTTAGGAACCCCTGAAGCAACGAGAGGTTATAAACCCAGATGGGAGCTTAGGTGTGTTTACACAACATAAACCCATAGCAGTACCAGAAAAGAAAACAAAGACAACACACAAGGATTTCTCAACAGAACTGCACATTTTCAGGGTAGTTTTCTTCTGAAAAAATCAATTACAATACTTTATTTTCAAAGTGAAAAATATTCCCCCTATAAGCATCCATACAAGCTCCATTTTCGTAATGGTCCCACTTCTTTTATTCATGGCTTGCTTTTTAGATGCTCCAAGTAAAACTGGCATGTAACATTATAAACTACTATAATTCCAATTCTCTACTTTGAACAGTACTTTCATATATTAAAATTTCCAAAAGTGGTATGATTTTAAAATGAAGTTTGTAAACATTGTCACAATGCCTCTTCCCTTACAAAACATTAATTTAGTAATTATTTAATATTAAAGTCATGTATTTATGACTTGGTGCAGCGATGTTATTACAATTAACCTGAAAATGCAAATAGCTTTATTTAACCGGTATGTATTTGAACACAGTTTAATTCTGAAAACCTGTTAAAATTTTAATTCTGAAAACTGTTGAAGAGTTAAATTAGAAAAAATTATTAACTCCGTTCAGTAAGATTAGATTTCACATTTAAAGCAAAGCTATCAGGTGATCCACACTGTATTTTTATAGTACATTCATGGAAATGTTGCTCTCAGCTAAAGCACTACAGATGTAACCATGTAACAACTCACATCTACTTAGTATAATTTTGTTACTTTTATCTTTCTACATTTTCTGTTACGATTCAGGCTATATTCAACTGACAATTACGAAGCTAACCAGTGTACAGTCCCTTGCAAATACTGTTAGTGGGAATGTAAATTGGCAGTTTTTGGAGTTCAATTTGGCAATAATTATCAAAATTGTATGTGTGCGTACATACACACACACACTACTTGATGAGCAAATTCATGTGCACATTTATCCAACAGAAACACCAACCTAAGTGAGCCAAGATGTACACAAAAAGTCAACCCAACACTGTTGGAAATAGTGAAAAAATGAAATGAACCCATTGGTGCAGAAGAGGTAACAAGCAGGGCTTGACACTGCGATCCTTAGAAAGGCCTGCCTGTGAGGTTGCCTCTTGGCTGGTGTCTCGGAGCTTGGCTGGCAAACAGTTCCCTACACCGATCCAAAGCTTTCCCCAAGGTCCCAAAGCTGGGTATACGAAGGCATCATGGAACTGACGTACTACAGTACATAACTGAGACTCATCCGGTTTTAAAATAAACGTGCTTTATTGTCTAAGCCATTTGGAAATGGCTTAATGCTTACGGTCAAAATTATTCCTCTGGATTTGTTTCTGTTGGTTTATATAAAATGGCAATGAAATTATAGGCCAGAGTCTGTTGTTGTACCCACAGAGGCACCATTACTAACTTAGTGAAATGTGGAGAGGCATCCTGCGGTACAGGTTCTTCATTGTACATGTGAAATGATAACATGTATTTTATAAGTACTGTTATGAAAAAATAAGAGAGCTTCTCACTGTGTTAGCTGTACAATATTTGTGAACTTTAATGATCAGACAAGTTCTAGCAAATAACCTGGTATGTAAGTTATTTGACCAATAAAGGATCCATACCTCCAAGCACCCCAGCCCTAGAATATTTAAATCCCAGAAGCTCTGCCCAATGTCCACATGTCATTCATGGAAAACAATTTTGTTTAGTAGCTAGTGTGATGACAAAGATCCTAATGAATTAAAAGTTTTATTTGGGCTAGTGTTAATAGTTTGATTTTAAAAGGTTGTAGGTATCACACATTGTCACTCAAGGGACATGTGCAGAATTCCTGAATACACAATGCTGGAAACAGCATGGAGTCCAATCAACTGTAAGACGCGCTGAGCCCACGTGATATGGAGACGGTGTGTTACTGGCAGCAATTTAAACGGCATGGCTCAAGCAATCTCCACTTAAATGTCGAAAATGAGAAATTAACAGTGGCACATTCAGGAAGCTACAGAATTTTCTTCTGAGCACCAACTATTCTGTAACCACAGACACATTCTGGAATTTACATTACCACTCTTAAAGATTTTAGCAGAAATAACCAGTATTTAAATGTTCTACTTAATATATTTACTAATCATGTTATATGTTTATATTTGACAGATGCTTACATATATCTATATACATACATAAATATTAGGCCAAAGGAGCTTTAAAGCAAGCACCAAAAAATATATAATTGATTACAAAAGTGGAAACTGAGCTTCCTAAGCTATCAATCACATAAGTTACTGACCATGGGAGTTTCATATATTAAAAATAAAGCAAATAAGGAAAAAATTTTAGTGCACTTAACCATACAATATATAAAATAGTTAATATACATCATAAATCCATTAACAGACTGTAGATACAAAATAATTAGCCATTTACATGTAATAAACATTAATATTTCAAGAAAAAAGTTTTTAAATATTTCAAAACTGCACTAGCACAGTATATCACACAAGTAGGAAATATTAAAAATTTTCAAATAACAATATTCTATTACATTCTAAATCAAAATTTTCTCTCCATTTATGCAAATTTTATAAAAGAAAGTGTTAAAAATAAATTTGAGTAAATTCTTAAGTTTTTGTACCTTTATTCTAGAACTATGTTAAAGTATTGCCATTGCAAAGAAATAACCTACAGTTTCCCAGAAGTATTTTTAATAATGGCAGTCTTCTGTTCAATACAAAAAATATAAATCTTTTCTTCTGTCAGGAAGTTCAAAATTACAAACTCTATACCAGGCTCTTTTTTCTGAGTTTTCTTTTCCTCTTGGGTGCAGTGACCTCTGAAGACATAAAATTAAGAAGTCCGTCAGGTCTATAAAAATAATACTTAATTGATAACAGACATTTACACTATATAGATGTTTGATATTAAGTAAGAATGCCGCCACAGCAATGCTCCAACAAGAAATCTTCAACCCAACATATACATGATTTTTTTCTCAAAATGGTATTACAGTTGAAAACTTACTAACAGAGACTCTAGTTATCCTAAATCCTACTTAATAATAAGCTACTTTGAAGTTGTTTCATATGGGTATGCCCTCCCTATATTGAGCGTAGACCAAGTGCACAAGACCTGAACGGTATCTGGGCCAGTGGAAAGAGAGATAAAGTGCCTACTATTTCAATTTCATTTCAATTAAACCTGAAAATGTAACCCAAAACACCTATACCATGCATCTTTTTGGCTACCACAGCAGACGCCAGAACCGACACACACACAGGTGTCCACATAGAAACAGCTGTATACCTAGTAGTTACTGGTTATTAAAAACAAAGAAGAGAAGATGCAAAAACATGAAAATTATGGAAAATGTAAAGAAAAGAAATATTCCCCACTAATGGAAAACAAAAAGGGAGCAACAGGAAAAGGAGTAAGTAAAGACAAACTAAAAATTAAGAAACAGGAACCAGACTCCTGGAAGAGCGCAGCAGCCCCAGGGGCGAACGGCAGCGGACAGCAGGGCTCGGGCCTGGAAGAGGCTTTGCAACGATGAACCTGATAAAATGCCTCATGTGTCTGAATACACCCAGAGGAGATTTACAGTTGAGGAAGAGTCTGGGGGTAAATCAGTGATACATATATATAAAAAAATAAATTAATAAGGCAAAAAGAAATTATGAACTCTGTAGGGAAAATAATAAAATCAGAGTGATTAAGGAAGAATCATAGCATATTACATGGTCCTACTGCCAATAATGTTTTGTAAATGCTGAATACCAATACAACAAAAATAATAATTATATTGGGAGGGTGGGGCTGGAAAACATTTAGGTGTTTGGGTGGGAAGCGAAGAATGTAAAAGAATTAAATCCTCACCTTCCTCCATGGGGAGTCAATTGATAATCCAAAGAATTGAAATATGAAGAAATGGCAATATAAACATGTTGTTTAGAGACACAGAGGTAAATACCACAACAATTAGTAAAGGGTTAAAAGTGGTTCCCTCTGGGGAGTAATAAATGGGAGTCGGAAGACTGGCTTCTTATAATGAGTATTTATTTGAACTGTTAAATTATGTGCCTATGTAATTATGATTAATGAAAACCAAATTTTTTAAAGTAACAATATGATGATTTTGGAATAGGACTTGCCAGCTACTCATAGAGGTGTGTGCGGTTACTAGTTTACACACAGTAAAAGCCAGCAAGGGAGACAGGAGAGACGCTAGTCTGAAACTCACCACAAGATTGTAAAGGACTATTTTATGTTGACATAAGCAAACACAGAAGCACTCAGGTTTCTGAAGGAACAAATACTCCCTTTTAGTCGTCTATTCTTTGTTTTCCATATGCTTTTATAGCACCCGGATTCTCTTTACCATAATGTATTGGCTTATTTTCCTCCCACACTAAACTGTAAGGTCATTGGGAGCACAGACTGATAAGATTCATTCAACAAATATTTACTTAGGTCCACTCTGGGCGAGTCACTGTGCTCAGATCTACAATTACTGTGATTAAAATAAAATGGTTCTTAAATTCTTGTAGTATATATCTTTATATCCCTTTGCCTAGCTAGGTGCTTGAAACTAAGAGGCACCAAATAAATGCTTGCTGAATGAATATAGAGCCCAAATGGGGGGAAAAAAGTCAACAGGCATCATTCTTAATACATATTATATTCACTATCATTGATGGGTTACCAATCACTACCCTTAGGTGTCTTCATTAACAGTGCGATTAATGTGAAAATTCTCCAATGTGTCTAAGATAAAAACCTGACAAGAACACACAGCCAGCCACCATGCTTTTCCAGCTTTCCCTCAGTTCTCTGACAAAATTTCATCCCTACCTGTTTCACTATGACTTCCGTTCTCCTCATCCTCTTCTGTGATTACAGGCATGCTCAGACTCAAGCATTTACCTTCCTTATGTGTATTCTGTATGTCTTCTGAAAACAGATGGAAAAATGATTTCATATGAAAACAAATAATGTTAACCCTTGAGAAAAACAATATACAAATAAAGTCATTGTTACAACAATATAAAAATTAGATGTTTAAACTAAAATCTAAAACAGAAATACACATTTGAAAATGTCTGTTTTTAAGTATTAGGTTGGCCAGAAAATTTGGTTTTCTTCCGATAAGATGGCTCTAGTAGCATTTAGTTGTCTTTAACTATATTTGAAACAATTTTGTTAAAGTCTATTGTGACAGTTGTCATATCAGTGTGCATTTAAAAAAAAATCATCAAAATAGGTGAATTTTTGTATAGCCATTTTAATACTGAAGATGGAAGAAAACACGCAACATTTTTGGCATATTATGCTTTACTATTTCGCTTTGGCTGGTGTGACTCAGTGGACTGAGCGCTGGCCTGTGGACCAAATAGTCGCAGGTTCAATTCCCAGTCAGGGCACATGTCTAGGTTGCAGGCCAGGTCCCCATTTGGGGGTTCGTGAGAGGCAACCACACTTGATGTTTTTCTCCCTCTCTTACTCCCTCCCTTCCCCTCTATCTAGAAATAAAAAACAAAATAAAATAAAAACCTTTTAAAAAATAAAAAATTAATAAAAAAGATATGCTTTACTATTTGAAGAAACGTAAAAATGTAAGTTAAACGCAAAAGATTTGTGCAGTGTATGGAGAAGGTGCTGTGACTAACTGAATGTATCAAAAGTGGTTTGCGAAGCTTTGTGCTGGAGATTTCTCGCTGGACGAGGCTCCAAGGTTGGGTACAGCAGTTGAAGTTGATGGTGATCAAATCAAGACAGTAACTGAAAGCAATCAATGTTACACCATGTGGGAGATAGCTGACATACTCAAAATACCCAAATCAATAAAGGTATTGGTGAAAATGAACAAGACATCTTTTATCTTACAGAAAAATCCCTATGAACTTTTTGGCCAACCCAGTATTTTCAGTTTGTTCCTACCTACCTACCATGCTATTCCTGGTAGTAGCTAGGAGTATGTTTTATATTGGGCATTAAATATTTACTAATGTTTCTACTGTTCCTTTTTTGTATATATAACTTTTAAACTTTAACTTTTAAAATATCAATCATTTCTTTAAGAATCAAATACCAAAGGCAATTTTATAGATACACTATTTCAAAAGAAAAGCAGGAATAGCTTAATTAGTATAGCTAGATGGCAATATGGTTTATAGAATGTTACCACTTACCATACCTCATTCTACACGTTTGTTTCAAACACAAAAATTACTAATAAAGTATGATCTGGAAAATTCTCGGCTGATTCTATTACTAACTAGCCATATCACTTTGAACAGATTATACTAATTAATCTGTCTGGGCATAAATTTCATAATCTATGAAATGATGATTTTGATGACTTCTAAGATCCCTTTCTGCAGTAAAATTCTATGAATCTAAGATCATTAATTTATTTTTAATACTAAATCTCACAAGATTCTCAAATACTATCTAATCCTTTTTAATAACAAAAAATCAGTGAGGGAAGATGTAAATAAGACCCGTTCTCCCTCACTGAGTCTCAAAAAGACTTTAAAGGTTACCTCTTTTTCTGGAAGACATCTTTCTTCCTACTGATTGCAGTGTTTCTTTGTTTTTCTTCCTTGTCGCTTTGGCCCGCCCTCGACCAGATGCAGAATCAGAGTCAGAGGAGTCAAGTTTGACCTGACGATGCCTTCTTGACTTGGAAGCCTTAAGAGGTAGAAATTCAATTAACCACAGTGAATTACCAAATGAATCCAACTGATAAAGACAAAATACAAAACCAAAGATAAGAAAAGAGTTACAAAAACTCAGGGTCCAGCAGAAAGAATGCCACTGAGTGTGGCTGATAGGGTATGTGAATGTCTCACACGAGATGGACAACAATTAGAACATTTCCCCTAAAACGTCACATGGTGTGCTTGAGTGTATATTGCTGTGTTACAGAATTACATGCTTATGATTTTGTAATAAAAGATTTTTATGTAATAAAAAAGAAGCGTTATTTGTGCCCGACCCTGCGTTTGTCGTAAGTACTTTACCATTACTCTGGCTTGCTTAATACCTGTCACATGTGTATACTCCTTTAGCTTTACAACGGAGGACGTTCCTGCAGCTATCGTCACCACCTACTCAAACTGGGTCAACACGTCGTTGCAGCTGCACAGCCGAGAAATGGAGGCATAAAGGACAAGTACTGTGTTTTACTGCCTAATAACCTATTCCCCCTTTCTTCTAGTATTTTATTTTCCTTAGTTACCACCATGTGTCCCGAGGGGAATTACGTTAAGCCTGGCTCCAGCAATGGCCATATGGCCCTGATCTAGTCAAAATGAGTTTCACGACCTATAGTGCATAGTTGCAGGGGTAGGCAAATGATCTGCATCGTAACTGATAAAACTCAATTGTAGAATTCTGTTAAACTATCAGGAAATAAAGTTCTCCCTTTCCATCGAACCTGCAGCTGGCAACATGCAAGGCTGGTTGCCAAGGCAAGGTGCCGTGAACAGCACCTGAAGACAGTGAAGGCAACATGAAAGGCGAGATGCGGCGGGACAGTCCAAGGACTTTTCAGTGACCGCACTCAATGCTTAAGCAGAGTCCTGGTTAACACAACAGTTTTCAGTTAATGTCACGTATACAATGCAAGTAGGTATTAATAATTGTTTAAGAGCTACCATGCTTTGCATGTTAATTGTACCTCAATATAGGAAAAAAACCCCCACAGCTATGCAATAATACACACTTATAACAACTTATGGGGGTTACAATTTAAGTAAATGATTTTTAAAAATTATTTCATAATGTCTTAAGGCATCAGTGACCACTATATAACATGGAAAGAGTTCTGGTTTCAAAGAATGTGGAATTAATTCATTGCTCTTAGGGCTTTTATTCAACAATGTTTTGTACTCAATTTATTGTGGTATACAAATATATAACACTTAACTAATCTACAATCACTTTTCTTTTTTTTTTTATTTTTATTTATACAACCAGAAAATAATAGTAATTTTCCAAAGAAACACTGTAATTTTCCAGAATGTACATTCTGACATTCATGGAAAAATCCAGGGAAAAAAATGAGATTAATCACATAAACTTATCAATGCCCCCTCTTGAAATGCCATTAAAATCAGAGTAAAGGAACAAACTCACAAAACAAAGATAATAAGAAACAAAGCATCTGTTAAAAACAATTTTGGAAGTGGGGAAGTGAATGATAGCTGACAACGGAATGAAGAAAGCTGAAACGTAATTGCCCATGTGGAGGAAGTTACTAAAAGCAAGCTGATCCAAGTGGATCAGGAAACTGAAGTCATCAGAAATGGGACTAAAAAAATGGGTAGATATGTTGAAAATCCACTTACAAATTACAGTCCCATTTCTCAGCCTCAAAACTCAACAACTGACTTCCTCCTGCAGAAAATAGGAGGTTTGCTCTGGAGAGCCTAAACCAAGGAAGCTGGCAGCCTGAGAAAGCTGGCGGCCTGAGGAAGCTGGCCCAGCTGAGGAGGAGAACGGAGCCTCCTACTGAGAAAAGGGAGGTTAAGTGAAACATGCGCTGGGAACGTTAAGCCTCTTGGCTGATTCTCGCGGTAGGCTTCCCAAGCACTGGCAGCTGGGCCGCTTTAGCACTTTCCTCCCCCAGAGAGGGAATGAAGAGATCCAAAAAGAAGAACTATTTAAAATTAAAAAGCTGTATCTTCACATGACCACTCTTAAATATGATCCGAGGATCTTCAAACATTTGAAAAGGCCACCAAAACAGGAATTCCAGGGGAAAAGGAGGAAACAAACAAACTAACATCCACAAAGAGATAAGGTAGTGCGTCCAGAGAAGAAAACATATAAAGAGTATTTTTAAGCCCTGGCTGTTGTGGCTCAGTGGACTGAGTGCTGGCCCGAGAACCAAAAGGTCATTGGTTCAGTTCCCAGTCAGGGCACATGCCTGGGTTGCAGGCCAGGTCCCCAGTAGGGGGCATGCAAAGGGCAACCTAGCGATGTGTCTATCGCACATTGATGTTTCTCTCCCTCTCTTTCGTCCTCCCTTCCTCCCTCTAAAAATAAATAAATAAAATATTTTTAAAAAGGAAAAAAATGTTTTTAAGGAGAAAAAGATTCAGAGAACAAGAAAATAATATTAGTAACAAAAAAAATGTCAGGAGAAATTAAAAAATTCAATATAATGTTCAGAAGATAAAGTTTAATCTCCCTGAAAGTAAAGAGATTAAAAACAGAAAAAATAATAAAAGTTCGAGAACAGAAAAAGAGCAAAAATGCAGCAAAGAACTCTATCAAAGAAACAATACAAAAAATTCCTCCAAACTGAAGACTATCAAATCAAAGGACGCCCACAATGATGAAAAAAGACCTATATCAAGTTATATTATCATGAATTTTCAGAACTTCAAGGATAAACAGAAAATCCTAAAACCTTCCATGAATAGGAAAACAAAAGGTGGAAGACAATAAAGAACAACTGGCATCAAAATTCCAGGTAAATGCCAGAAGTAGTTAAAAGAGAGAAAGTTAAAGACAGTTGCCTCTTGAGGTTAGGAATACAGAGATAGGAAGTGATGTAGCAGGAAATTATTGGGTTATACCAGCTATATAGTATTACTAGACTTTCTATAAACTAGGTACATGTATCATTTTGATGAAAAATAAAAAAGTAATTTAAAAAAACACCAAATCTATTTCTAAATTACCTTACTAAAGAAATAACTTACCTGAACAACAACTGAAAAGGCCTTTGATTTTATTTTTGCTAGTGTTTCTGCCCTGTCACATCTCTAAAAGTAAAAATATACAGGAAGGAAAAAAAGTTAGAATACATAAACATTAAGTGAAATTATGATTGCCCACAGAGATAAGATTTTAGACAGAGGTGGGGGCAAGAAAGTAACATCTACTGGACACATGGTGAGTAAAGACACATAAACACGTACCACATTCTCATAGCAGGTGCCCTGATTCCATCCCCATAGCTACGGATTCTTTTCATTCAGGTTTTAAGGAGGATCACATGAAAAAATCCCTGGGGATGAAACCATTCCCTCCTCACCAGTCTATGGCCAAAGACTGCCAGCCCCTTATCTCATCCACTAAGTTAACTGAAACCCCTGAGGCAAGAAGCTCCGTACCAGTTGGAAGGCTGACAGGAAGTGAGGAAAGACACACTACGGAACCCTTCCTCCGCCCCTGCAGGCACTCAAGGCACCTCCCGCACCATCCCGCCCTCCCGCTACTGAAAACTGTTGATGCCCTACTCCCAGTCTACACCGGCCGTAGTCTCACACTAGGTTTCCTGTAAAAACAGACTAGCTCCTCACAGAACCCCATGTTTCCGTTTTCTAAGATACTGGCCAAGGATCACAATGCTTAGTATACAGAATCAAGCCACACATAAAATAAAAAGAAGCTAATCAAACTACTACCCTGTAAGCAATCAGTGAATTTTTCTGACCTCTGATTCTTGTGAATTTCCTTCCCCCTTTTCTTCTCCATCTTTAGCTTTTGATTTTAAGGATGAATTCTGAAAGAGAAAAAATTTTATATATACAGATTAACAATTCAGATTAAAAATTAATTGCAAATCAATTTCATAATAATGAAAATCATTTACTTAATTACTGAGAAACTAAAGATCATTCCATGTTTTTGCAGTATGGTTCACCACCTGACATTAAGATCATGGTTAGGTGTCAAAACATTTCTAAAATTCATCAACAAAATGCCTAAATCCCCCTACTGAAGGATAATATACACTTTAAGTGGTAAAGAAAATTGGTTTATTCTCCTTTCCTTCAGCTTTTCAGAAGTCTTAGTAATGCTCATTAAAGATAGTTTATTAAAAGAGAGTACTGCCCTGGCCAAGTGCTCAGCCTGGTTGGAGCGCTGTCCCGTGTGCCAAAGCGTTGCAGATTTGGTCCTAAGTCAGGGCATGTACCTAGGTTGCGCCCTGGCCGGGACATATACGGGAGGCAACCAATCTATGTTTCTCTCTCACATTGGTATTTCTCCCTCTCTCTCTCTCTTCCTTTCTCTCTCTAGAAGCAGTCAATATATCCTTAAGTGAGGATTTAAAATAATATTTAATAATAAAACATAAAATAAAAGAGAGTACATATTCAAACATTCTAAAATGTGCTACCTCATTAAAGTGAATGTGGGTACAGGAAGCAAAGTATTTCCTTCTCCTCAAGACTGCCATCTCCTCATTACTTTCCCTGTGTATGTTTTCCTAAAATTAATCTGAGCCAGCTCTCTTTATATAATGGAAAGCCAAAAAGTGGCAAGGCAACCAATCTTTCTGAAAAACAATATGTAAGATAGTATCTATCTAGCATTGGAGAAAACACTAAAACAGTATCACTCACACAGTAATTAGAAGTTGCTTATTTTTACTTTGTTTTTTAGAGGTATCTACTAAAATGAGATGGAGTAGTGGTTTCAAGGGTAAATTTAGCAAGGCTGGCCTTTAGGTTTCCAGAGTAAAACAGTTTCTCCAGCAGAAAAGGTTAATGTGGAATATAGGTAGCTCTAGCCTCAGTATTTACATGAGAAAACTGAATTGCAGCCTTGTGCTTATGAGACCTGTAAATGGGTAATAAGCCTCGGCTGGGAGAACCCCAATGGGAGAAGCCACAGTCCAGCTAGTTATCTGCAGCCACGCAGCAAAGTGGGACCAGTGCTGCCAAACCTCTGACTTTTCAGAGAAGCTCACTGTCTGGAATTTTACATGAAGTCTACAAATATTTAAATGTTAGTAATTAATTCAAAATTTTAAAACAATATTACAGTCAATGTTGTGCCAAACAAAACATATCTATGTGCAGGATTTGGCCCAAAGACTGCCGTGTATCCTCTGGAGAAATGCCAAATTATAAAGATTGCAATAAATCTGTGGTGTACCAAGATGACTCATTCCTCTATAACTGTATTTGATTATACATGGTAAAACTGTCAGTAATTATCATTATTTGAGTATATATACAATATATATAAAATCGATTATACGGTTAAATAACATCACATAGCTAACAAGTGTAAAGAAAAGTAAAGCCCCCTAAATCCTGGCTCCAGAGGAACGTTGCCACTCGGCTCGGCTGCCTCGCAACACTGTCACCCATATCTGGCCACATGCATAGTGCAAATGCCGAGGTCAGGTATCAAACAAGCAGTCACATACCTTCCTGTCTTTGAGCCACTGCTGATGCTCCAAAACTATGTTCTTAATATTATCAAAAAAATCATCCTTTATCAAGCTGAGGGCTTTGTCTGGATTGGATTTATCAGCTGAAATTACATGTTTCATGTTCTGATAATGGTCATGAACATTCAGCATTTCCTAAAGGCGAAAAGATGAGTCTTTTACCTCAGTTTTATAGAAGAAACTTATAGGCACAACCAACACAAAATAAAATGACATTCCCAAGTGACTGCTGATAAGGAATAACATGCTACAGTATATTGAAAAGGATATAACTATGTAAACAAAATAGTACAGCTTTATTAAAAAAGCATAAGCTGCTTCCAGAGGTATTCATTCATTCAATTCAATTTAACAAACATTAAATAATTTACAGTTTGGAAAAAGACTAATTACTTAACGAAGGATTACATTCCTGGGTATAACAAAAATGATTTATAATATAAAATATCATTAAATATCACTACTGATAACTAAGATCACATTTTTATTTTATATCATTTCGAGTATATTTACATAGTTCTTTGTGCTCAGCTGGAAGTTCCTGTATAGTGTCTCCACTTAATCCTCCAGAGATGTGCTGACGACTTTCACAAGTTTCAAAGCCTGTGTGCCTGTACCCATAAGCTTCATCACTACTTCAGTGTTAAAATGCAGGATTAAAATAGAGGGGATTTATGACACCATCTGCGGCATTACTTATTAATTAGACCGTCCTCCCCCAGAAACTTCCAACCAAATGAGATCTATGAGGTAAGGAAAGAAACAGCACATTGCAGGCAGACACAGAAATGACACAGAACTAGCATCGGGACTTGGCCCAAAGGTCAGCGGGGAACTACCAGCTCTTCTTTCACAGACGGCCACTGCAACATCTGGGCCATCCCTAAGTTAGGCTCCTGAACTCACTTCTGGCAGATTTTGGTGGAATTAACAGAATTTGTTCAAGGAATCAGAAGATGCTCAGTAGTGATAGTGCTCACAAATGGAGGATCGTCAAAGGGAAAGAGTGTCCAGACATGCGGAGCCCCTGACTTTTTACAGTTTACAATGTGCTGTGCTCCCACTATTTTACTACATGCGATACAATACAGGGGAAGACCACTCGTTGGACCTGGTTTTGGCCCGAGTTCTGTCACTTGCCAGACTGTGATCTTGAGCAAATCCCTCAATGTGAGAATCATGTTCCTCATGTGTATGAAATGAAGTAATGCCACCTAACACACTGTAAAAATATTAAGTGAGCTTCTACAAGTGAGTGTTCTGCCTAATGTAAAGCATTATACAAAATTAAGCATTAAGAAATAATAGGAAGTGCCTAGACTTTGTGATCTTACAGAGTTGGACATTTAAATCCAGTGTCTGCACCTTAGTTTCTGCAGATTTCCAAACCTCAGGTTCTTTTTTTTTAAAAAAAGGAAACTAGCCTCAGTTTCCTTGTTTTTAAAATTAGGAAAATACCACCTCCTCTGCAAGATTACTATGGTGATTAGTGAGGTGACATACATAAAACATATAACATAGTTCCTGGCACATGTTGAAAACTCACCACATAATTATTATAACTGTATAAATGAAAAAAATGACTTAGAAATGAAATAATTAGCTGAAGGTCATATTTAAGTAGCAGTTAGGATTAAAAATCAGATGTTTTAATTGAATACCTTATTCTCTTCATTTTATTATACCTCCTTAACCACAAAACTAGAACTAATGAGCAGCAGAAAAATGACCAGAATTCAGGTGTGCTGATATGAAGACAAAAGCATTTGCAAGCAGTAGATGCAAAGTAGAAAAGTACCAAATTTAAGGATCATCAACGAGTATGGGTCAAAGGCTCTACAAGGACAGGACAAATAGAATCGGCAGAGGTACTGAGAGAAAAGGCTCTCAGAGCAGACCTGTGGCAAGCCAAAGGTCAAGATAAAGTCGGGACGACTTCATATAATCCACTCTATTCCTAGAAGTTTCTAAGAATAGGCATTTCCTAGCCTGGCCCTTCGGATCCTTCTCTCCAATCACCCTAAAAGCATAGGCGTTTGTGCCCTGGCTGGGGCTCAGTTGGCTGGAGCACAGTCCCAAACACCAAAATGCTGTAGGTTTGATCCCCGGTCAGGGCATATTCAGGAGGCAGCCAATCAATGTTTCTCTCTCACATCAATGTCTGTCTCTCTCTTCCCCACCTCCCTTCCTCTCTCCCTCAAAATCAATAAACATAAAAAAATAATAATAATAAAGAAGAGGCCTCTGTGCATCACCCCAGCTCTGTTCTCTTAGATATTCCTAGTTTGCAGTGAGTTTTAAAATAAGGAAAGTAAAAGGGAACTTTAATAACACGTATTGTTAAAAAAAATAAAAAATAAAGTCACTCTAAATTCCTGTTTTATGATCTAGCCAAAAAATCAAATACAAATGGTGGTTTCAGCCCTGGCTGGTGTGACCCAGTGGATTGAGTGCTAGCCTGTGAGCCACAGTGTCGCCGGTTCAGTTCCCAGTCAGTGCACAAGCCTGGGTTGCGGGCAGGGACCCCAGCTGGGGGCGCATGAAAGGCAACCACACATTAATGTTTCTCTCTCCCTACCTTCCCCTGTCTCTGAAAATAAATAAATCTTACCAAACCCCCCAAAAACCCCCCCAAAAAACCCCCAAAAAAACGGTGGTTTCAGTATCTGAATCTAAATATCCTGAGTCCAAGTTCAGTCTTCCACATCTTTTACCTCCCGCCCTCCGATGAATCAAGCATTTTATTTAATTACAAGGAAGCACTCGTTTATTTTCTACTTAAAAAAATAACAGTCAGCCCAAGCCGATGTGGCTCCATTAGTTGGGCATCATCCTACAAAATGAAAGGTCACTGGTTCGATTCCCACTTAGGGAACATGCCTGGGTTCCAGGTTCGGTCCCTCGTCTGGGCAAGTATGAGAGACAACCTATCGATGTTTCTCTCCCTCTCTTTCTCCCTCCCTTCCCCTCTCTCTAAAAACAAATAAAATCTAATTTAAAAACAAATTACATTCAGGCTTATACTGAAAAATACTGCCTAGATAGTTTCCAGAACGTTATTTTGGTTCCATAACATTATTTGCCACTCAGTCCTGGAGCTATTGAGATCTGAAATCATGCTTGCCCTGTGCACTGCAAGAAGCTAAACGAGACCACCTATGCCACGGAATTCCTCAATCCCTTGTTATGTTTTCTATCACCCATGGAAACAATTAGGTCAACTTTAGAGAAACATTTGAAAAATAGTTAGATCTTTGAGCAATAACTCAGCACCCTCCAGACTTTTAAAAGTGAAGAATGTTACTTGTGCGAGTCAGAATCTGATACCAATTAAATGGTGACAGCTTTGCCAATAAACAAGAATACGCTTTTCCATGGATGCGAGGGGAGACTGCTACAGTTCACAGGTCCCAGACACATGGAACTCCTCTACATCTTTGTTTCTGTGTTTCAAGATTTATTTGATAAATTTTGATATATTTAGAGTGTAATATTTCTGATAGAGAAAATAATATGCATGATATGATTGGTTAAAATCATTTAAAAATTTGCAGTATCCAGTAGAGTAAGGTATAACCTCAATATATAATTAACAACTTTTTTTTATTTCAAAAGAATAAAGGCAAATTTACCTCTAACACATCAGAAGTGATAAGTTTCATTACACGATCATTAGGGTCCTTAAATTCTTCTGTAACTTCCACTCGCTGAATTTTTTTCTTCATTCTACACGATAGCTATATGATAACGAAGGTCTTTTAAAGTACATATTTTTTAAGTACGGAAGTAAGTATGACAGCAACAAAAATTGTCTATCAGTAAACATGGATGAAACAAAGGTAGTACTAACTGTATATGTATTAAATACTCTGTTTTTCAAAAGCTATTAGACTTTTAAGATAACACTTAAGATAACCCACATGCTTACAAATTCAGATGAGATTCAGAGAAGTTCCGTATTTGTCAGCTGATGGCAGAACCAGAACTAGAATCTAATGCTCTTCTAATCTAGTGTCTCAACTATCATAGATTGAAGAAGTTTCTTATTTTATTGCTGCAAGTTTCAACTTTTCACCTACTGACATTAAAATTCCTTGGTCCTCTTTCAAGAGCACCCTCTCTGCTGTTTGAATAAAAAAGTGAATAAACGCAGATGCTTACTGTAAAGTCCTCTTCTAACAATCTGCTTAATAGATACCACTTGGATACAGACAGAATTTAAAAGCAGAGACTGAATTTTGTTTGCAACAAAAAGTACTCAGAAAGCGTTTTCTCCTTCTTTCAAGAAGCCTTTCTACAAGTATTGGATACTATATAATAGTCTTTCCACATTATGGAGACTGAGATACTTTATGGACAATGAAGTATAATTTCTCATTTTGAAGAAACAATCTTTTTTAGGTAACATACCAATTTGGGCATTGCTGTAAAGTGGAATGCTTTGTCCAGTCGCAGCTTCCTAAAAATATAGGCTGCATCATAATGTTGTGCATTTATCAAGTCTTGCTGAAATTTTAAAACTTCATCCCAATCCTTGAGGGCAACTCTTATCTGCAAACAAGGGAAGTAAAAAAGTTGTAACTAAATGTAAATCTTCACAAATGTTTTATAATTTTGAAACATGGGCATTTCTATGTAAGTCAGTTTGTTGTAAAAATATTGTACCCATTTTGTGTTTCTGCTGGGGGGAAACAGCTCATCAGTATTACCTTTTGTTTTGGTTGACACAGTTGGGTGTTATATAATCCATACAGCAGATACAAAGCACCAACTCTGATCTGGAAGGTGTATGGAGGTAAAAAATATCGCCAAGCCAAAGCTAAAGCTTCTTTTGTAAACGAGTTCTTTTCTAAATTTCTCATTCTACCACTAGAAAACAAAGAGAAAATTACTTATTACATTAAATAAGTAATGAACAAAAATTAGAAGATGTATAGTCTAGCAACTGCTAGAAATTGGATGGGCATTCTACATCTCATTTCTTCCTGATTCAAGCACAAAGACCTAATCTTCAGTCATGTTTCTTCCACTGAGGCATAGGCATATACTAGGTAAACAGGAAGCATCTACATAAAGCATCAACTTGACTTGCTGAACTGGGGGGCAAAAGGGGAGGCGTTAAAATTATTCCCAGTTAAGAATTTAAAACATTTAATATATTAAAATAACCATGGTTATGTTACAAAATAAAATATACAAGCTACATGCATTTTAACATATAATGGATATTTTCCTCAATATTCTCAGGGATTCACACTAAACCTCATTTGTCTTTGGGACAGCTAGATAAAAAAGTTAGAGACTACAATACAATGTAATCCACCCCTCCTCTCGATTCTTCAGGGCAAAGCTCACCAAAGTACAGAAGGATAGGAAAGCAGACTCCTCTATATTCCCAATGCTTGATCTCTCCAAATAATGATTAATACAGTAAAAGAATGCAAAATACCGACTGTAAATACAGGCAACCAAAGCAACTTCTAAAGAATATTCCCCATTCTTCAAGTGGCTCCACCTTTTTCCCCCTCTTAGTTTTTCCTCATTAGCTAAAAATTGAGGTAACCCCAGCAAAATGTTTCTGAACTACCACTTTTCCCAACAGGTTGCAGTGAAAGATCATGGGTTTTGGAAACAGGAAAACATATAGGCTTCAATTTCTGCCCTACTACCCACTGGCCATGTGGTCAGGGAGAAATTACTTAACCCCCTTAAGCTTTAATTTCCTCATCTATACAACATCTATTATACTTGCTTTTCAGAGTTGTTCTATGGATTAAATACATTAAACTATAAATACATTACATTTAAGAGCCATTTAAAAAATTAGTTTCTCTCCTATAATTAATTATACAACAAACAGCTCTCCATCCTCCATCCCCTGCAATGTACAAACTACATAGGTAATTTTACATCAACAGAGAGAAAAAACAGAACTTCTACATTTTATTCAACAAAGTTTTAACTACAAGAACTCATTCATTCATCAATTATTAGCCTTTCCAATATTACATGTACTATGCAAATGGATACCGGATTCATCCAGTCGCTGTCCTCACAGAGTTCCATCTAATGGAGGGAAAATTTAAAAATAATAGCAATACTGAACATTTACTGAGCACTTAGAGTGCACTTAACATATATTAATTATCTCATTTAATCATCAGAACTACTGAGGTACTACCACTGTCCCTCTTTTACAGATTCGGAAACTCAGGTAAGTAACTTAACAAAAGGCAAAATCAGTGGACTCAGATTCAAATTCAGGCAACTGGGCTCCACAATCTGTGCTCTTAAATACTAACACTGTCTTTTGATCTACACACTTACAACAAAATGTGGGAAGTCGAGAGTTAAAATAAGCATAATGTATAGGGGAGAGAAAGAGCAGTACTCCTCACTTCGTCTAGAAGGGCAAGGAAGGCTTCCCTGAGGAACTGTCGTTTGACCTTAAACCTGAGTGAAAAACCAAGGGGCCAAGCAAAGGGAGTTGGGGGAAAGCCCCAGGCTAAGCGAAAGGCAGCAGAGGGTTAGAGCAAGAAAGCGAATGCACGGAGAGTGGTAGAGGAAGCTGCAGAGAAGGGCTGAGGCCAATCACAGTCGGTCTAGCCAAACGTGTTAGGAAATTTGAGCTCTGAAGGTTGGTAAACAAGGGATTGACCTGATGAAATTTGCACCTTTGAAAGAGAGCTCTGGTTGTTACAGGTAAAACGAATTCTCGCGTGCGTTTTGTCTCTGCTTAGCTATTCCTCTTGTCTTGAAATATGGGGTTCCAGGAGCAACAAGACTGGAGGGCAGACAATGGTGTCCTAGGTCAGGCTGGGCAGTGAAGATGGAGAGTTTAGAAGGGCAGCCAGGCAGAAATACATGTTCAGCCACAAAAGGATGCAACCGAAACCAATGAAATCGCCCAGGGAAAGCGTCTAGCCTGAGCAAAGAAGGCAGCCCAGGAATGATGGAGGTAGCCTTCAGAGACTGCCATTTCCCTAACCCTTCAGAGGTGCGGGGAGGCGGGAAAAGGGGGCGTGGGGCTGGATGTGCAACTACGTACGCCGCGTACGAGCAGACTTGGGCAGAGAGGCGGGTAGCGGCCGAGAAACACCCACCAGAAGATGGTCCCGAACTTCATGCTTCTCCAGAGCTCCGTGAAATCCTCGAAGCGAACGCTGTCCGTCTCCTGGAAGCGGCTGAGCAGCGCCTCGCAGTCGGCCTGCAGGCCTGGAGGAGTCCCCATGCCTGCAAAGCCCGTACGCTCCACGAACTGTTCCGCCCCCCGCGGTCGCCGAGGAAACGTAGCGCGGACACCCCACCTCCGACGACGTGACACACACGCGCTCCGTGACGTGTTTCCGGCAGCTTTAGCTCCACCTCCAGCCCGACCCGTTCTGAGCAGTCGCTTTGCTTTCTGCGCATACAGTTCACTTCTGTTAATTGAAGGACTGAGATCAGCCCTTTTAATTTCTTTGAAAAGATTTATGTTTCAAGTGTCGCGTGAGCCCAAGAAGGAATTTAGGTCTGCATTAGACTAGCTTATGAAAATTGGCTTTGCCCTTACTATCCTCTTCTTTAAAGAGGAAGAATGGCGAGAAAGTCAGCATTTACAGCTAGGAAAGAACAGTTCAGACCCTCAACGCTCCCCCTGGTGGAAAGGGGATCTAAAGAGGGTTTACTAGAACATGAACTGGATTCATTCTCTTCAATCTACACCCACATAATAGGGAGCTTACTCAGAGACCTAGCCGTCTCCTGCAATCATTTTTTTTTTTTTTTAGAATTGTTATAAAAATGTATTTGAGGCGAACAGGATACACCTGGAAGCAAGATCTCAACAGATAAATGCTTCCCGCTACCACTCTTGAAGAGCTGTTTTGTAAACATCTACCCACCACCACCCACCCGCCCCTACTCTACAATCTAGCATAGTGCTTAGCAGAAAGTATTTACCTTATGTATACTTTTTATTTGGCTAAATTGGCTTTCTCTACACATTCCACCTCTTAGCCTATCCCTGGAACTAGATATGGAGTAGTACTTTGTATTTTTCACCATTTCTCTGATTGCAGGGCATGCTGGTTTTATAATTTAGGAGGGGTATCCTGATATAACAGAAAAGCATGGGACTTTGTCTGTAAATGGAGGTTCAACTCACTTCACTGATCATTGATCTATTTTTTTAATTTTATGTAATCGTTTAGATATACAGAATAATTTACATAACGTAGGCAATAAAAAGCATAGCAGAAATGTATCTGTGTGCGCTCTACCTGCGTGGAAACCAGAACATTACTAACACTGCCACATTAATGTGTGAATTCCTCCTTTAAACTCTCACCCTGCCTCTACCACTACCTTAATAACAACTATCTCATTTTGTTCTTCATTATCTTGTATATACTATATTACACTTGTATGGCTACCTAAACAATACATTGTTTCATTTTGGATGGTTTTGAGTTTTATGAAAATGATATTGCAATGTATAAAACATATTCTTTGAAATGCTCATTAAATTTAGTAATGTTTCTAAGATTCATTCATGTTATTAGTCATAGCTGTTGTTCATTCATTTTCATTCCTGCCTAATATTCCCTTGTGTGAATATACAGTTTATCCATTATCTTTTCAATGCAAATGAATGTGGATTCCAGATTTTGCTATTATAAATAATGCTATTAAAACTTTGGTACATGCTTCCTCTTATTTGTAGGATCCTAACCAGATGAAGCATGTGGGGCCCAATAAAATTTGAATTTCAGATCAAATTTTAAATTATGTATTATTTATCTTAAATACTGTTTAACTGACCATCCTTTACTTTTGTTTGCTAAACATGGCAATCCTACTTACACGTAACAGCAGTCTAGAGTGTATATACCTATGAGTGGACTTGCTGGATAATAGGTGCAAATATAAAACTTAAGAAGATAATGTTAAATTGTTTTTCGAAATGGTTGAATTGATTTACATTTCATTGTCAGTGAATGAACGTTTCCAATTCAGCTATATCATTTCAGAACCTTGGTATCTAATTGGGGTATTAATAAGCATTTCTCTGATTATTAATATGGTTGTACATCTTCTCAAATTCTAATTTTTATTCATATTTCCTCTGTGAAATGCTTGTTTATATATTTGGTTCATTATTCAATTGAGTTGTTTGCCTTTCTCATATTGTAAGATCACATTATGTATCCTAAAAACTAAAGTGATACTTCTTTTATGCATTACAAATATCTTTTCCCCATTTGTAACTTGTTTTTATTTACTATGTTTATGGTGATTTTTGATATACAGAAAATCTTATTTTTTATGTCATCAATTTTTAAATCTTTTCTGATAAGGACTTTTGTATGTTAGGGCCACAAATATTTTCTATTACATTATTAGTTAAGCAATACCAATAGTATAGCTAATAAACCTTGACTGCTCAGTGGCTTAACACAAATTAATTTTATTTTTCTTTCATATTAAGTTCACTTAAGGGCAAGATAGGGTGGGAAGTGTTCTGCTCCAAAAAGTCACCTGGGGACCCAGACAAATAAAGACTTAAAATCTTCAGCTATCGCCTTGCCAGGCCACCCTGATTATAGACATCTAACCTGTGACATGGGAGGAAAGAGAATGCGAAAGACTGCATGAGAGAATTATATGGGCGATGTCTGGAAATGGTCACACGCAAAGGACAGTCTGCTGACCTCTGCTGGTCTACAAACTGTCAATTACCTCTCCATCACAGACTAATACAGAAAGTGAAAATAAGTGTTTCTAAATTTTTAATAGCAATTTGACAAAGTAAATGTTTGTTGAATCTAATAATAAAAAATGGGCCTGTATTTGGTGTTATTTTTTTAATTTATTTTTTGAATTGTTTTATTTCTTGATTTTAAAGAAAGAAGTGGGAGAGAGAAACATTGACTTGTTGCTCCACTTATTTATGCATTCATGGTTTGCTTCGTGTATGTGCCCTGACTGGGGATCAAACCTGCAACCTTGGCATATCAGGACGATGCTCTAACCAACTGAGCTACCTGGCCAGGGTGTTGGTGTAAATTTTTAAATTTCAATTTTTCTGGTTATTTTTATTTTTGTTTACAAAAGTATTTATCCATGATAAATTGGGAAGAAATTGTACATTACCACAGATAGTTTGAGAAGCACTGGTGTACACTACCTGTATTTCAGTCCACATTCCATCATCCAGAACTCATTAATGTGGCACCATTAAGAGGCAAAGAGACCTGGAAAATGTAGTCCCTATCTGGGCATCTCTTCCCAACAACAACTTCAACCTATGAAAAAGGTGCACAATCTCTGTTGAACTGCCAACATCACTGCCACAATTTTCTTCCAAGATCTTAAAGTACTGCCTTTTACTTTTAACCTTCTGTATCCATCTAAAAATGATTTCTATGGATGGTATGAGATAAGGATTCTATTTCACTTTTTTGCATATATAAACCATGTATGTGTATGTATATGTATTTTGTATCATTTCCCAGCATCTGAGATTGCATCGTCCATCCTTTCCCTGGCGATCACATCTGTCACATATCAAGTGCGCAGGACTAACTGAAGCCAGGACACAACTATATGGCTCTGTACCTGTTGTTAAAATACCAAAATATCTCCATTATTGTTAGTACATAGTTACTGCCCTGAGCCTCCTTACTACCCTCCACATCACCACTTGGGCCCTCCACGCCCTCCCCTGGGGTCCCCAAACAGCCCCACAATCCAAAAATAAAATGTAAGCAAGGCACAGGAAAAGGCCTCCAGGACCCCACTCCAGTTTCAGTCTGTATCTGGGGTTACAGATGATCTGTTTGCTTCCAGAGGCTAATTTACATTTTGCTACATTAATACCATACTCTAATTACTACAGCTTTAAAAATATCTAGAAAAGAAAGTTCTCTCATCTTATTTTTCTTCAGGAGTAACAACTATTCTTCAACTTTCGCTTTTTCATAGAAATTTTTATTATTTTATTTTATTGTTTGTACTCCCATTGTCCCACGTCTCCCCGCTGTGCTGCCCTCTGCCCAGCCCATCCCCCACTTCAATAAAGCAGTCCCCTCACCATTTCCCATGCCCATGGGTCCCTCGTATATGTTCTCTGACTAATCCCTTCACCTTCTTTCTATCATAGAAATTCTTAAATCAACTTGTCAAATGTCTCTAACAGTGCCGCTTGGATTTGATTGATTGCATTAAATCTGTGAGTCAAGTTGGGACAGAATAACACCTTTATTATATTGAGTCTTCCTATCCATACATTTAAGTCATCCTTAATGTCTTTCATAAAGTTTTATAACTGTTCTCCATAAACTTTTTAAATTAATTTTTATTCTATTTTTTCCATTACCATGTATCCCCCTTACAAGCTCTTCCGCCTCCAACCACCCTATCCCCGCCTCCATAAACTTTTTACATGTTTTTTGTTAGACTTATTCCTACATACCTTGTTTTACTGCAGCTATTGTATTTTGTATATTTCACATCCTTACACTTCTGCTTGATTACAATATATAAAAATGTCATTGAATTTTATATATTGATCTAATATCCAGTGCCCTTCCTAAATTTGTGTTAATTTAATAGTCTTTCTATAGATTCTTATAGGTTCTATATATAGATGATAATAGCAGCTATTAATAATGATAGTTTGCTTTTTCCTTTATAATCCTTATTTCTTTCTTTCTCCTCTTACTATTTTCCCTGGCTGAGACCTTTTATACTATATGAAATATAAACATAAAAGCATGGGTGTGTGTCTATTTACTAATATGCCACCAGTACCTAAAAGTGTTTGGTACACAGAAGATGCTCAGTGACAAGTATAGTGATTTTCTCATTTAAGTTTACTGTTCAATTTCACAATTCGAATCTGGCTCTTATTAGTTTTTATGTTTATATTCTGTATTTGGCCAGCCATTGTTATCATACAGTCCTTTACATCTTTAAACATGGTTTCCTTTGGTTCTTTGAATGATTTTTAATGGCTGCTTTAAGCCTTTTTCTGTTAAGTCCACCATCTAGACCATCTGATATGGAATTTCTCTTGCCTGCTTTTTTTTTTTCTTGTGGATGGAGTAAACTTTCTTGTTTCTTTTCATGGCTCATAGTATTTTTGTTTAAAACTGAAAATTTCAGATAACTTATTGTACAACTTTGAATACTGATTGCTCCCCCCTTTCCCACGGGGCTTGTCGTTTCGTTGTTTGTTTAATGGCGTGGCTTAACTATTGTAGTGAAGTCTGTTTCCCCCAGAGTGTGCAGCCTGCTA